TTAAAAAAAAAGAGCTAAGATGCAGAAATTTACCTGTGATCATGAACTCATTGTAGCATCAGAAGGTTCTAGAAGCAACCAGGTGCCTCCCAAGTGTGGGCCGGGGCCAGGCCACGTGGGTTTGTTGGGGGGTCTCCTCTGCCCGCCCACCAGAGCCTCAGTTTCCCCATCTGTAAAATGAGAGGCCGGTTCTCCCAGCCCGTGCCCGGGGCCCTCTGTGGGGACAGGTGGTGACGAGTCACCTCTCTCCAGAGGCTCCAGGAGGAACAGCGCCAGCGAGACGCGGACTGGGACCGGCAGAGGGTCGAGAAAGCCCGCGCCGAGGTGCTGTGCGAGCGGCAGCAGCGGCGGCAGCAGCGTGACCTGCGCAGAGCCCTGGACAGCAGCAACCGCATCCTGGCCGCGGAGCAGCTCCGGCAGTGGGTGCCCGGGCTGGCGGGCTGGGGATACCAGGCTGGGGGAGGGGGGCAGGGATGCTGACCGGCAGGGCCATGGAGCAGGCTGTGCTTTTCTGGGCTCCTATCCCCCATCCCACCCCCTGCCCCAGATCTTTCCCACCCAGAGGGTCCGGGTCCTTGGTGCGTCATTCACAGGAGGCCCCGTGGTGGTGGTGGTGGTGGCTTGGCTCTGGCACGGCCTCCTGGCGAAGAATGCCAACAGAAAGGGGGTCAGGTCCAGAGTGAAGAAGCCAGAAATTAAGGGCTTGGAAAGCACGGGTCCCCACAGACCAGGGGATGCGATGCCATCCAGTGGGCATCCTGCAGACAGCCCTCAATGGGCTCCTCGCCTGGGCCTGGGACCCCCAGCGGCTGGCACACGGGCGCTGGTGATGGGTACTCGGAGGGCGCAAGAGTCCAGGGCAGGGCCCTGGGTGGGGGCTGAGACGTGGAGGAAGCGATGCCCGCCGCCCACTGCGGGGAGCGCTGCTCTGGGCACACACAGGCCCCGAGGGTGGCTCAGGGTTCCGGCTGCCCGCTGTCAGCGCCGGTCAGCAGGGAACTGTCACCAAACCCACAGACGATTACTTGTGTGTGTGTCCACCCACCACGCTCCTGCCTTGAACTCAGAGGGGACCCACCTGTATTTCTCCAGTCAGACGTGTGGCACCTGTTTGCCTGTGGGTCCCTCTGTCACTCCTGTGACTAAAGGGGCGTAAAGACATGGACTGAAGAAGTCTGGGGCGAGCAGACGCTCCCAGTCACGCCTGTGGAGATGGGACCCTGGAACCAGGGGGGTCCGCAGTCTAGACGCTCCGCGGTGACGAAATGCAGCGAGGCAGCCTGGGACAACAAGTGGGTGGGCTCTGCCCTAGCTGGTGCTCAGTGGTTAGCGCATCGGCCCTCAGACTGGAAGGTCACAGGTTGGATCCCCGTCCCAGTCCGGTCGGGGCGCGTGCAGGAGGCAACCAATCGGTGTGTCTCTCACATCGGTGTTTCTCTCTGTGTCTCCCCCTCCCTCCCACTCTCTCTAAAAATCAAGGGGAAAATATTCTCGGGTGAGGATTAACAGCAAGAAGTGGGCGGCTCTCTGCTATATCACACACAGGCAGGCGAGGGCGCCAGGCCTTTGCTGACGGCTTCTCCTCGTTTTATGATCAGGAGAAACGACATGAAGGAAGTCTGTACCAACCAAGCCACGGACGACTTCTTCACGCAGTTCAACACCAGGAGTCGATGATGAGAAAGACACCCCTCCCCTCCCCCGTCATTCATGTATAAACGCCGTCACCTGGAAGAGTCACATTTATTCAAAAAATACACTCGCCCTGCCGGAGGCTCGCCTGGTTGGAGGGTGGCCCCGTACCCCAAAAGGTTGCAGGTGTGACTAACGGTCAGGGCATACACCTAGGTTGAGTGTTCGACCCCCGATCAATGTTTCTCATTGGTGTTTTTCTCTCCCTTCCCCTCTCTCTCAAAAATAAAAAAACACACATATCCTCGGGGGGGGGGGGGGGTTAAAAAAAAAAAACTACTTGGCCCAAAAGGCCCCTAACTTCACCTTCCACTGGGGACCACGCATCTGCTAATCTCCCCCTGCGTTTCCCCAGGAGCCCCAGTTCCGGTCAGTGCGGCTCAGAGCATCCAGAGGTGGGGACGGGTGGGCACGGCCCCCTAGGACTATCGAGAGAGAGAGAGAGAGAGAGAGAGAGAGAGAGAGAGAGAGCCCGCGGAGGTGGCGTTGGGGTTCCCGAGGCCGCCCGGCCCCCGCAGCCAGGGGTGGGACTGGACTCCTCACTGCTCCAGGGGCGGAGCCTGAGACGCGTGTTGAGTGAGTGGCCAAGCTCACGCCTTGGGCAGTGGGACCTGGGGTGGAGCCCAGGGAGTCTGCTTCCCCACCCCATCCCACCCCACTCCGCTGGCTCCTGGGAACAGACCCCAAACAGGAGTGGCTTCAGCAAAACAAGTTTATTGTTTTTGTAAAATCCCAAGGTGAGCGGTGCCACCCAGGAAGGCCCCAGCTGCCACCCTCAGGCCACACTGGGGCAGCAGGGAGGAGGAAGGGGTCCGCGTGCTCCCCGCTGGAGGCCTGGCAGGAAAGCGTGTCCCCTCCGCTCCCATCCCTTCGGCAGGACCACCCCCGCTGCATGGAGGCTGGGAGACCAGCTGGCCAGCCTGCAGCTGGGCAGTGATTCTATAATGGGGTGAAGGATGGACGAATACATACCAGGGGACAGCTAGCCACGGGCTAGCCTTGAAGAGCGACCTGGAATTTGCCAGAGGGAGGTGAGGGAGGTGTTTTGCACTGGGGGGCGGGTGTCTGCATAATGGGGTCTCCAGCTCGCAGGCCCAGGATGACTGGGTTCCGCCCAGGCACCTCTCTCCTGCACGGGGGTTTCTTGAGGGGCCGGATGCACAGGGCTGGGGACAAGCGGCAGTTGTTGGCGGCAGCTTATCATTGGCCACGACAGCCGGACAGGCCAGTGCTGGCCACTCAGCTCCCCCCTCGCTGTCTAAGCGCAGCTCGCGTCCTGCCCTTGCTCGCACCCGGGCGCTGGCCGATGTTACCCGAGGACTGGCAGGGCCCAGGTTCCCCTGGGGCTGGGCTCCAGGCGCACACAGGCCCTGGGGTCTGAGGGAGAAGTGACGGGAAGTCCCCGCTGTGGTTGGCATGGGGAGGGCCTGGGGCAGCGCAGGGTGGAGTGGACGGGGCCTGTGGCCGTGGCCTGAGAGCCAGGCAGGGCCAGATCCAGGAGGCGAAGGACTTTAACCGGGAGCTCGTAGCCAGGGAGTAACGGTGGGCTGTGCCGTTTCAGAAACGTAAAGGCTCGAGAGAGGCCGACTATGAAGACAGACCTCACCGCCTCCCTCCCAAGCCAGGCCCACAGGGCTCCCAGAGGCAAAGCATCTGGCCAGGTGACCAGCTGGGCAGGGCTTGCACCCAGATTTAGCCCCCAGCTTGAGGTGGGGCGGGAGGGGGCGGCCTTGGTGCTCCAGCTAAAACAGGGCTCTCCATGTTACGGGGGAACAGACAAGTGGATTCCTTAGCGTCTGATGCGCGTGGGGCAGACGACCTCAGTTAACCTTGACCATGAGGACTCTCGGAGCAGGGCTCTGCCCGGTCAGACAGGCAGAGGGGAGGGCGCTGGCTACCGGGTCGCTCCCAGGATGCCCACGGCGCTGTGTCCGCCACCTGCAGGGGCTCGCAGCTCCCTGGCCACCCTGACACACATCCGCCCACTGCGGACACATTTCCTGCTGCTGCCCGTCCTGAGGTCCCTGCTTCGTGAGCAGCCACGCCTGTTCTGGACGTCAGCAGCGGCGAGTACACTTCCTTTGGGGAAGCCGGTTGCGGGTGTACCAGTTCCTGGGGCTGCCATGCCAGAGCCACAAGCTGGGGGTTTAGGCGACAGAAATGTGCAGGTGCTCACGGCCTGGAGGCCAGAATCCTCTGAGAGCTCTGCAGGAGGCTCTGCAGGAGGCTGCCAGCCCCCCACCCCACCCCGCACCCCGTCACTGCTGGAGATCTTTGGGGTTCGCTGGCTTCATCTCCCATCTCTGCCCCTGTCTCCACGCGGCTTCTCCCTGTGTGCCAGTCTGTGTCCAAACCTCCCCTTTTTGTAAGGACACCAGGCCTATTCGATTAGGAGCCCGAGTGGCCTGCACTGACCGTTTCCCAATACGGTCACAGGCTGAGGTGCTGGAGGTCAGGACGCGGTCATATCTTTTGGAGGAACACGATGCAGCCCACAAAGGGGGGACCCAGCGGGACAACTGGCCCCACTGCCTCCCAGATGACCCCATTAGGAGCAGAGGTGCTGGGGCTGGATGAGCCAGCTGTGGGGAGCACAGGGGTGCAGTGAATCCCCCGCATTGGGCAGGGACAGGGGAGATGGGAGGCGAGGTCGGCTCATTCAGGGCACGCTGCCGCTCTTCACGTCCTGGAAGCTTTGCCAGGACCCCACCTGTCGCAGGTACAGAAGCCAAGGGCGTGAGGTGGGGTCACACAGGTGACGGGCGCAGGTGAGAGGGAGGCAGAGCTCGGGGCCGCTGCGGGCGCCGGTAACACGCGGGCCGGCGTGGCCAGGCTGGCTTTAACTCGGAGCTTTGCATCGTTATAAAACAGTGGTTCTCAACCTTCCTAATGCCGTGACCCTTTAATACAGTTCCTCATGTTGTGGTGACCCCCAATTTCATTGTGACAAATTGAACATGATTAAGGCATAGTGATTAATCACAAAAACAGTATGTAATTATATATGTGTTTTCCGATGGTCTTAGGCGACCCCTGTGGAAGAGTCGTTCGACCCCCAAAGGGGTCGAGACCCACAGGTTGAGAACCGCTGTTATAAAAGGTTCCCACAGGAAAGCCAGGCTTGGAAACTTTGGACACCAGTCTGCTGTGAGTGCGCCCCCTGCTGGTAACCAGTGGCGGGTTCTGGCGACACCGGTGAGTGCCTGCGCGTGGCTGGACGGCAGAGCCAGTGTCCAGGTGTGTCGCCCTCCCCATGCCTCTCCTCTGGACGGCCCGTTACGGTGTGACAGACACACACAGCCCAGAGGCTCCGTTTTGTTTTGTTTCACTTTTTTTTACATTTTATTACAAAAAATTTCAACCATGCAGGAAAACGGGAAGAATCGTACAGCCTGCATCCAAACACCCACCACCTAGATTGTACAGTTAATACTGGCTTCATTGCTTATCCCTGCAGATGGGCTCTTTACAATTCCAGGCGTGTGCTGCTTACAAAAGACACACCCACACAGAGCGGCACGAGACACGTGGTCGGGGTTTACCCTCCTTCCACAGGTGAGGAGGCTGCAGGGAGCCGTCCCCGCTTGCCCAGGTCACACGGCTGGTGGTGGGGAGTGGTTTACAGGGAGAGAGCCTGAGCCCAAAGCCCTGCTCGTCCCCCCTTACCCTCCAGTGAGCCCCCCCAACCCCACGAGCCCCCCCATTGCAGGAACCAGAAACATGTGCCTGACCCCAAAGTGTACACAGTACAGTCCTACGTGTGCCAAACCGAAGTGTCTGCTGGGACGGGGTGGTGGGGCTGACTGCAAAGGAGCAGGAGGTAACTCGTGTGGGCCGGCAGGAATGTTCAGGAAAAAACACAGATGCGCCCTCACCGGTTTGGCTCAGTGGATGGAGCGTCGGCCTGTGGACTGAAGGGTCCCAGGTTCGATTCCGGTCAAGGGCATGTACCTTGGTTGCGGGCACATCCCCAGTAGGGAGTGTGCAGGAGGCAGCTGATCGATGTTTCTAACTCTCTATCCCTCTCCCTTCCTCTCTGTAAAAAAAATCAATAAAATAATTAAAAACAAAACAAAACACAGATGCTCCCACCCTCCCACCCCGACCCCGGTGTCCTGACAGCAAAGGGCGGGGCCCTAACACACCTGCAACCAGAAAGTGTCGCTGCCTGCTGTGCCCTTGTCTACCAGCAGGTGGCGTCTCCGCCTCGTGTGCATCCGCCTCTGCAGGCTCCAGCGTTGGCCATCCTGCTTGCACGTTCGCCTTTGGTCTCTCCAGGCAGGTAGGAGGCCTGCGTGGAGGAGGCTGCAGCTGCTGCGAGGGCCACCCGAGTGCTCCTGCAGCGAGGCGGCCGGGCCCACGCTTCTCTCTTGGTCACGGGTGGGGACGCCGGGTGGGGTGGGGGGAATGGAGCGGAGCCTCTAGAGTGCATTTTCCGGAAGAGCATCTCCCCCACCCTCTCACTGTGTCGGGTCCTGAAAGACAGTGGTAAGAGAGCTGGAGGGAGCCGAGTGAGGGTGAGGGAGAAGTGGAGGGGGGGGGACCGCCCCTGGGCTCACCCCACCCACAGAGGCCCAGGCCTGCCCCACCCCTTGTCTACCCGTCCCCAGGTTCATGCTGCCCCCTCTCTTAAACCTGGCCACCCCTCTGCCCAGAGCTGCACGGCCTGTGTCACCGTCCTGTGCCTGGTGGGCCCGGTTCCTTATTTTTTGCCGAATGCAGGAGAGCCGACCTGAGCACTGGCCACGGCCCCAGAGGAGGGCGCGATGGGCGCGCGGGCAGCTGGGATACCGCCATTCGGTGGGTCTTTTCGCCTGGCCATCGGGGAAGCTTTCCACCCGCGTCCGCTCTAACAGTGCCAGAGCAGCCCCGCCGCCACCCACCACTGTGGGGCTGGACCAGCCCAAAGCCCCTTGGAGAAGGCCTGGCCGGGCCTCCCCTCCAATGGACGAATCACCCCAAGTTCCCAGGGGGCTCTGGGGCTC